AGATCAGCTCCAGTCGAAGGTCCAGGGCAGAGAGGTTTCTCTTGTCGGAATCGTGCGGGCTTGCGTGGTCCTGAGGTCGAGCGTGCTCGCTATTCCGACGTTCAGTCAGTTCTCAACAGTCTGAGCATCAAGCAGAGCACGTTCAATGATGCCGCTGGAAAGCAGATCCAGGCTGGGATACCCGAGCACAGCGGGACGTCGAGGCAGCCACAACCACGAAGTGAGCTGATACCCGTCCCAGCGTCAGGCATGGAGACTTCGGCACGCCGTCAAGAACGCTCGCGCGAGATACTCCCGCGCCGCTGCTGGACCCCGGGAGTAGCGAAAGCAAGATACAAACACACTCACGGCCAAGAAACCTTTTCCACAGCGGCAAGTCTCGGATCTCGTCATCTTGTCTCAGATCAGCACGCAGGAATGCTAGCCACGGACCCGATGTGACAATGATCCATCATCGCCCGTCCGCAAGGATTACTCTACCAGAAGTGCGACTAAATGTTGGGCTGTCTTTATCATGGAGAAGACCTCGTGTTCGCTGCCTTACAAGACTGTATGGAGCCTCTGACTGCTCGGTGGCGTTTGGCATGATCAATACTGCATTGACTGCTCGGTGGCGTTTGGCATGATCAATACTGCATTGACTGGAGTCTGTGGCAGACTCGATGTGCTTTGTTATCAAGACACAATATGGAGGAGTGCTCGCTCTGCACGTCTCGGTTGCAGCATCAATATCGATCCTTATACATTTCAGCCCCAATCCTCCCAAGCCCCATCCTTCTCAACATTGCTCCAGCATCTCCAGGTCATCGTGATGACTTGAAGGCGTCCGCCATCGCTTCCACCTTCTGCAGCGGGAGCGTCAAGAACAAGCACGTGTTCGTATTCCCTCGTACTCTGCCGTCGCCCTGCGCAAGTGTACGAACTGCTGCACCGCGTGCATGAGAAGGCCCTTCTCCACATTCTATTTCTTCACCCACACTCTTTGACACAAGCTTATTCAATAGCCAATCAAAATTGATTAACCGGCTAAGCAGTTAAACGTGGGTTGCGGGGTAGACAAGCTTCCATCAACATCACCTGGCAAGCCTGGACCCGACCGTCACTGACGCAGCGGAAAAACTGTACTAAAGGCAGTCTAATACTGCCTGCAGCTGTCTGGCGTCGACTGCTAGTGACGGGCACTATGCCACAGAGAGAAGGAGGATGCTGCTGCTGGGGCCGCGCGATCGAACGTTCGCAACAGCACCATCCTGAGCTCCAGTCGGATACGATGCGACTTCGAAGTCTCCGGGTAGCGAGCGAAAGCAGGCAGCGCTGGGAAAAAACGTCAGCAACACGATCTTGCCTCACGGCCGATCTCAAGTGCATCGCTTCTGTCGCCTTCCATTGCCCTGGATGGAGGAAGCCTAAGCCGAGGACATGCATCGCGGACCCACTGCCGCTGTAGGTACGATGCGGCTGCTCAGGTACGGGATGTACGGCTGCATCACGTTCCAATATTCCTTCGACGTCGGTCTTACTTCTTGCAGATGGCGGACACACCCGCGAACGTCCAGGCGCATCCACCTTGGCTCTCTTCAGGCATCGAGCTGTCTCAAACTCAATGTGCTATTGCTTTAGGTCGGCCTTAGCTCCATCGTTATGCATCGACAGGCATCTGTCAACTTATTCTGGGAGCGACCACCTCGTCAGTCCTGGTGCCAAGCAGGCCTCGAGCCCGCTCCTCGTACTGCACCGGCCCATCATGGTGCAAAAAGAGTGTCACAACGTACAGTCTGACTACTGTGACTGGAGGGTGAGGTTTCCACCTCGCTCCGGAAACTCCGCCGGCGTCGTGAAAGGATGTGGAGTGCACTCTTCGTGCAGCAAAAGTAACGAGGGGGCAAGCTATTGTTATCGACGATGATCAGAAGGTAGGTGTATAAGAGGGAGCAGCCTTCAACGATTGTTCTCCAGCAAGCAAGCAACTCACAAGCTTTGCACATCGATCAGCACATTCGCTTGTTGCTGCACTTTCGCTATCCAATTTCAACACAATCGTTCAACCTTCAACCTTCAAACCTTCAATATGCTGTTCACCTCAGCGGTCTTCGCCGCCCTTGCAACGGGCGGCCTCGCTGCTGCTCTTCCGGGCGGCAACGGTGGTGGATGGGGTTATGGCCAGTGCAAGGCTTGGGACCACTCGTCCACCTGCAGCAAGGTCTACACCACCAAGACTCAGTCATGGGTGAAGCCAGAGACCAGTGTCTACACCACCACGACCTACAAGCCATCCACGGTCACTCTGACCTCGGAGAGCACCTCTTACGAGACCAAATACTGTGAGTTGGTTCGAGTCTCTACTGCCTACGTTTTGGTCTAATCATGTGTCTAGCCACCATTGTAAAAACCCACACTAAATACGAGACAAAAACGAAGACAATCCCGTACAAATCGGAATCCCACACCGTCGTCTGCTACACCAAGCCGGTCTGGGTCTGGACGCACAGCACTTCTCTCTACACTTCGACTGAGAAATATCCGGTGACCTCAAAGACCAGCAGCGTCGAGACTGAAGTCACCAAGGTGCCACACACTGTTACGACCAGCACCCCATGCCCGGAGACCCTCACCAGCTCCTACAAGAGCACCTACTACACGACGAAGACTATCTTCGTCTCCAAGAGATGCTCAACAACTTCCAGCTGTGTTTCAACGAGCAGTTCGACGACTAGTTCGATCAAGACCTACCCGCATACCACCAGCAAAACTACCTCGAAAAGTTCATCGACATCTCACAGCGTGAGCTCAACTTCCACATCAACTAAGCCATGGGGATACGGTTCTTCCTCCTCTTCTTCATCCGTCAAGACGACATCCAGCAGCCCAACCTCGCCCGCGACCTACCCTCACACAACCAGCTCAAAAAGCTCGTCAACATCCTCCAGCTCCTCCGAGTCTAAGCCATGGGGTTACGGCAGTTCTTCTTCCTCCAAGCCGACCACTTCCACCGGCCCTTCGACCTACGGAGGAACGACGTCAACATCGTCTGTAAAGACATCGTCAACAACTCCCACCGTACCTCCTACCTATGGCGCGAGTAGCTCAACAGTCTCCTCGGCTACTACGCCGCCACCTACATACGGAGCAAGCAGCTCAACGGTCTCCTCGGCTACTACGCCGCCTCCTACATACGGAGCAAGCAGCTCGACGGTCTCCTCGGCTACTACGCCGCCTCCTACATATGGTGCCAGCAGCTCGACAGTCTCCTCGAGCTCCGTAAAGAGCTCCTCCTCTCAAGGACCATCAACGTACGGCCAAAGCACCACCTCCTCATCCTCGGTGACAACTCCCAAAGCGCCTGTGTACGGGTCATCTACAACAAGCTCTGTTTCCTCATCGAAAATCTCAAGCTACGTCTCAAGCACGCCCAGCACCACCGCTGGTGGCTACGGCTCCAGCACCTCCACCGCAACCGCTCCTGGTGGCTACAGCACACCCGCAACAACTGCGTCGGGTTACGCGGCATGATTGAAATGACAAAAATGACGATATGTCTCATGAAAGAAATGGAAAAGACAGGAATGATTATGTAGCTATGTAGCCTAGCAATAGGATCGTCATCATCAACTCAGACTACTCGAACGTCTCTCACTGTCGATTGTTTGTCCCAACGCGCCGTTTCGCGACACCGTATCAGCCAGAAGCTTTTAGACTGAGCTTCTGAGGCTCATTGGAGTGACAACGCCGAAGGATCGTGAAGAGCAGTGTTGGCAACATCCCGCCCCTCGCTCGCGAAACTCCCCATGATAGACGAGGAATACGGTCAGATGTTACGCGCTGAGCAGATCTAGTGTCAGAGCTGTCGTCGTTCGATCGTCTGCGATAGCACCGGAGACTTTGTTTCAAGGCCACTCGAAAAGGCACCAAGACGCCTCCGGAACGACGGGGTATGCTACGATATATCAGTACCTGTCTAGACAGTCGAATGGGTAACGGGTAGTTTTACAGGAGGGGGGCGGGCGCGAGCGACAATCCAAACGCGTCTGCGAGCTCGACAAGGGCCGAGATCGGTGGGCCATAGCCAAAAGCGAAGGCGAGTTCTGCGGAGGGGGACATGTGGTGGTGGTGCTGGGGAGGGAGAGGGTGGGCTGGTGGAGAGGTTGGGGGTGGAGAGGTTGGGAGTTTAATAAGAAGAAATACGGTAGCAAGAGCAGGTACCTACCGCAAACGACCAATACCAACGTTATGTTCCCAAAATTAGCATTGAGGAAGTTACGGGTTTGTCACTTCCTTATGCTTATATGAGAAGAAGTCGTCGATGTGCAGTTGCGTGGCGACGGTCGATTTCACCCTACACAAGCAAAGATGTCTTCGCTCCCCATCCGACTGATGATGCGCTAGCTCACAGAAATCGGGGTAGCTCACGATGCCACCGACGAAGCGAAGCTGATGCCGTACATCTTGCATGTTGGCAGCCGCCGACGTTTCGCAGCTGGTAGAGCACGTTGCGAGAGTGAAGGCGCTTGATACCGTTAATGGAGTGGCGGGTCGCAATCCTCTGCTAGTTCGTCTGCTATCGTTCTTGTCAATGGAGGCGTCCGTTCGATATAGCATCGCCTGTGCCAGAGCGGCGCAGAATATCGAAGCGAAGTAGTCCGACGAAATTGGGTACACATCTGCGTCTCGCATGTTCCAGGATCCCTACATCTTCTGCCAGTTGTCGGGACCGGCAGCAACCCGTCCGCTGACTTTGACAATACGATATTTATTGCTGCTCCGGCTTCCAGTGTGGTCCCATCTGCACTCTTCGCCTCTCGAGAGCACGACCTTGTCATGTCCAGATGACAGACTGATCTGCTCAAAAGATCCGCCGACCAGAATTCCCGCTCTCCAGCCTTTCTGCAACTTTCTTGCCGAGATGCTCCGTCTCATTGTCCCGCCCTACCATTCACTTCGGGCTCTTCCCGGCATTCAACGCAATGAGTACATAGCAAACAATCTCTCACCAAAAGCACAAAGGGGATGTGGTCCAATGGTAAGATACTGTTGCGGGTGTGCCTGGCACGCCCAGGGAGACTCTCCCTGCAACGGTGATACTGGTTCAAGTCCGGTCATCTCCAACAGTATTACTTTTCTTTTGCCATCAGGGTTCACTCTCTACTCTGCTCACCTACCTCGCACCAGCGAGACGTGTACGTTTTCATTGTTAGCAAACCACGAATTCCGGACTAACGACTCCAGCTCCGAAGTAAAGCAGACCTCACCGATTCAAGTATCAGCAGTCTCCGTTGATAATGAGAGTAGTCCATTCGGCATCATCAACCCCCCTACATCCGATCCCGTAACCCTCAAACCTCCGCCACCTATTCCTCCTCCTCCCCATCCCCAACCTTCTTCCCCCTCCCATAATTCCCCTCCGCCGCCTTAGGCAAAAACCAACACGCAACATTCAGCCCCAACGCAATAACAATCAACACGAACCAAATCAAATGCCCATCCGCCCAACCCCACTTAACACCCACCGCGAACAGACTAGTGAAAGCCACGGGCGCAAAAGCCCGGACCCCGCTATTCGCCGTCAGAGCCAGGGCGTTGACGGTAGCGAGGACGGTGGAGGAGGGGGAGATGTCGTTGAGCGCTAATTGGACGCAGGCGAAAGACATGGCTACGCCGCTGCTGAAGATGATGGAGGGCCAGAGGGCGATCCAGAAGATGCGTTCGTAGCCATGTCGAAGTAATTCGTTGAAGATGGGAAACGAAGCCAGGAAAAAAGGCTGGAAAGCTACGCAAATCTGCCCCAACCACCAAAAAACGTCAGCATGAGCGGAATTACCCCATGCCCGCAGCCCTTCACACATGGGGGCAAGAAATGATGGAAAATTGTGAAACTCACCCTCAACAACCTCCCCGTCCCCAACCACCTCTGTAACGGCGGAAACCCCCCAAGCATCCACACCGCCTGACTCATCCCCGCCACCGCAAGAAAGATAGCGATCATACGATCACTGAACCCGAAACCCCCCTTGGAAATACTAGTAAACTCCATCACGGGACTCACAGCCGTATACGCCAAAGCCAATAACATCGTATGCCCGAAAATAAACAATACCATCGGAACACCCGGGGAGCGAAGCACATCCCAAGTAGTCATTGGAGGGGGTGCGGGTTTGCCTGAGGAGGTGGAGGAGGTTTGAGGTTTCTTGGTGGCGAGGGTCTCGACCAGGAAGATCTGGGCGGAGATGGTGGTTACGAGGCACAGGGCGCCTGCTGTCCAGCTCGCGAGGGCGTAGGGGAAGTGGGTTGAGAAGGAACTGTGGCAGAAGGGTGGGGCTGAGGCGAGGTTTATTGGGCAGGCGAGGGTACCTCCTGTGCGTGTCATGGTGTGTCAGCGTGGTCTAAGTAAAATTAAGTATATCGCCACAGTGTCTCTTTGATGCAGCCGGATGAGTTGGTTCTTTCTGGTGTGCAATTCCTCCAGAAACCCTCCCCAAAACAGCTACGGGTTGAAGAAGTGACAAGACTTACCAATCAAAGGCCCCACGAAAATCCCGAAATTCTTCGTAAACATATACCAACTAAACGCCCTCGCCTGACTCCTCTTCGTACAATTCTCGCTAATCATCGTGCGAACCGTCACCACACTCCCCGCGAAACATCCCGCGAAACAGCGCGCGAGAATCATCTGCCAGAGGGTCTGGGACATGCCGAAGAGAGCGGTGGCGACGCTGATGCCCGCGAGGGAGAAGACGAGCACGGGTTTGCGGCCGTAAGAGTCGGCGGCGCGGCCGTAGGGTATCCTGTGTGTGGGGGATTAGTATGGAGCATGAATTTTGCGGGCTCGTACTGATATCCGTGGCTCAGTGGACAGAGGCTGGATCGAGCTTGCTGATCCCACTCACTGCCAGGCATGCATATTGATGTTCTGTGTTGTGCCCTTCGTGACAAAGGTAACCATTCCTTGAAAGAAATGGAGGAAGGATAGGGGACTTACATTAACGCCATCTGCACCAAGCTGAACAGACTCTCGATCAGCCCCCCGTAAAACCCTACGGACGTCTCAGGGATATCGCCTAGTCGGAAAATCATCTCGTTGATGAATGGGAAGATGGCAAAATATGCCACTGGCTCTGCTAGAGAGGCGAAGCAGAGGATTAGGATTTGGAGGTAGGGCATTGGTCGCTCTTCTTCTTCCTCGATATCCTCGGTAGGCGAGACATTGGATGGGGAGGAGGCGGTGGGTTTTGTGGTGTGGCCGTTGGGAGCGTGGACGATCTCGGGTGCGGACTCAGGCGCTCCTAGTAGAGGTGTGGACTCGGTCGCTGTTACGTGGTCGCTATTCCGTGTTGGGTCCGCTGAGGGGGCCATGGTTGCTGTGTATCAATTCACAATAATCCAATCCGGTGGCGAGCAGTCATATGGTATCGTTGTCGAATATCGTCAGACCGAGCACAAATCACCAGTGATTGTTGAGGAAGTACTGTACATATTCCCACACCACAGGCAGCCCTACAACACGCAATCGCAAGCTAGCCCCATCACCAGCCCATCCTCCTTCCTCTTCGGTCACCGTCGTCCGTTGTCGCCGATGCAGGTGAAGTTCGATCGACCGCCAAGTCTTGCCAAGAGTCCGAGCGGGCAACTTTTCTGACGACCTTCCAACTTCAATCTTGGACAACATAAGAATTAATTTCTGGTCGCAAACATGTCAGCCGACGCACCGAGTAAGACGAAATCCAAGAAGAGTGAGCGCAAAGGCGGGAGTGGGACTGGAGGCAGGAAGCGGAAACATGAAGATACTGTCGACTTGCCTGGTGGAGGAGGAGACGAGGAAGAGGAGGGTGGTGTAGCGATTGATGCCGCTGTAGTATCGGAGGAGAAAGCAGCGAGCAAGAATAAGCGCAAACGAGACGATGCGCCTGCAGCAACAGCAGACGACGCAGCACAACCAGCAGAAAAGAAACAAAAGCCCTCGACGCTCTCCCGCAACCTGCGAAAACGGCGCAAGGAGAAGGAAGCTAAAGGCTTGCCCATCACGCCCGCCACTACTGCCACAACCGTCCCCTCCGAGCAGCCTGCCGATGATCAACCCGCCGACGACCAGCCCGTGAACGCCAAACTCGGCTCCACAAAGGGAGCGAAATTCATCCTCTTCATAGGCAACCTCCCCTACTCCACCACCGACGCCTCCCTAACCGCGCACTTCAAAAAACTACAACCCTTCATCCTACGACACCGTACCGATCCCACGACGGGAAAAAGCAAGGGTTTCGCTTTCCTCGAATTCGAACAGTTTGATCGTATGGAAACGTGCATAAAAAAGTATCATCATAGTATTTTTGATCCGGCGGATTATAAAGGGGATAGGGTGGAGATGGCTGAGCCGGGGATGGCGGCGGCTGGGGCGGTCAACAGCAATACATTAGGACTAGGACCTAAGGCGAAAAAGTCGAGGGCACGGCAGATAAACGTTGAGCTCACGGCTGGTGGGGGAGGTAAATCTGAGTCGAGAACTTCCAAGATCAGGGACAAGAATATTACTTTGGAGGAGGAGAGGGTGAAGAGGGCAGAGGCTGAGCTTAAGGCTGAGAGTGTGGGGAGGAGAGGGGGAGTTAGTGATAAACCTGTTGAGGAGAAGACGAAGGGGAGGGGGAGGGAGAGTTGGGAGAAGAGGGAGGCTGCTAAGAAGAAAGCGGAGGAGGGGAAGGGTGGTGCTGGTGGGAGTGCGAAAGTGGTGGAGAGTGGGAGTACGGAGGGCGTACATCCTAGTCGGTTGGGTTTGATGGTCAAATGAGATCCTCGAGGTTCTGCACAATACAGAATTACCCCCTTCAGTGGTCTTGCCTTTCCCAGATACTTCCCAGGTTTCCTACGACTCATTACTATTACTAACAGGCAGCAGCCGAGGTGGCGTTCAAGACGACATAGCACATCTATGTGTGTGATGATCCGGGAAGCCCCAAAAAAAATGATTAATGGAGATGACCGGGCTCGAACCAGCATCACTGTCGCACGAAGGTATAGGGCGATGGCCGCCGATACCTCAGCACGAAGTATCTTACCAGTTGGACCACATCCCCAGTCATGGTTCGGTGACCAAGTGAATGTGTGAGATATACTAATGACCGCAGTACCGCAGCGCGGCCGAGCATGAAGGGGCCATGGCGTTGATGGCTGCGCTTACGATAGGGTAATGAGTTGGCAAGGAGGAAGTCAGCTAAGGTAAGGAATGCCTGCCTGGTGGCAAAAAGGAAAAGGTTGGATTGGAGATGATAGTGAAAGTGAAGCATCACACACCAGCGGCGAAAAGCTAAAAAAGTGTTGGAGATGACCGGATTTGGACCAGTATCACCGCACACCGAACCGCCAGCGTTACTCAGGGGAGAGGGCTCCTCAGCTGTGTGCGGTATCTTGCCATTTGGACCACATCCCCGGATAACATGTGCGGAGGATTACGTCTGCTTCTATGTTGAGAATGCGATTTCCGGGAAGTCGCCGAGATGTGGGAAGAGTAAAGAGATCGCCGGCGGCCAAAAAGTGAAGATTAATGGAGATGACCGGACTCGAACCAGTATCACTTCCGCAGTATACAGAGGTTCGGAGCAAGCTCCTTGTAAAAGCGCGGAGTATCTTGACCATCTGGACCACATCCCCGTTGGCGACTAGTGAAAGGCTGGCTCATTATATGCTAGGGACACTTTTGCGGGAGAGGTACAGCAAGTGAATGTTTGTAGAGTCATACGTGGTTCAGAGTCGCATCGACTACGGAGGTATGATGGGATCAAGTAAGTATCGTTCGTTCCGCACTATGCTAACAGCCACAGGCTTTTGACTCACCTCGGTCCCCACGCATTGAGCCTCCCTAGATGCAGCGAACATCCAGATACCACGCTAGCTTCACCTCTTACGACCACCTCTGCATGTTCAGCGCTCTTCACTAAAGCTGCACTAACTACAGCATGGTCGGCTCTTCTACAAGGTGTAGGAACCTAGCTTATCGCGAGATGGAGGTTAGAAAAGTGAAGATGGTGATCGACCAAAAATCAAAAGGTAATTGGAGATGGTCGGAATCGAACCGACATCGCTACTGCGCACAAGAAGAGCCACACCCCAAGACCTTTGAAGAACAAAGAGCGTTGAAGAGCAGAAGAACCCACACCCCAAGAACCTTGAAGAACAAAGAGCATTGAAGAGCAAGAACCACGGTGAACCTTGAGGAACAAGAGCACCGGATCAATCCGAAGAGGAAAGAGCAACTCGCAGCAGCATGTTACCATTGACACCACATCCCCGATATGAGCGGTTCGAGTTCAAGCGATATGTGTCTCCCCGACATGGGTACCGCAGTGCGGCCGGACTCGATGTGAGCAAAGATCGCTGTCGTTATATGCACGGTTGCGCTGATTGTGGGAAGTGAAGTCGCCGGGACTCAGGAGGAAAATCGCATCGCCGACCTCGATATCTGACACTTGAGACCGGCTTGCGGTCCATGACGAGCCGCCAGCTACATCTTTACAAATACCCCTGTCTCGGTCAATGCCAATAAACAACAGAACGCTTTCCAGAGCGCTCGCCCCGTTTTGCCAACCGACCGCCACCTAGAAGAGCACTCAAGCTGCCGCCACTTGCAGACGACTCGCCGCCTTCACCAAGATCCTTCAACTGCTGGCTATACTCCTCCCGCTCCGAACCCTGCATTTCCGTCGAACGTTTCTGCCACCCAAGCTCGACTGGGAGCCTTTCGTTCTCTGGATCACAGCGTCAGCATGCCCGAAGAACAGGTACCAGTCTCCTTCACTTACCCAGCCAATAGTCAATATACTCCTTCTTCACCTTTCCCTCCGTCCCGTCAGCCATGATCTCAAAGAACGAAGCACACTCTCCCCAGCTGAACCCCGATCCAAGAGCACTGAGCTCATGCTCAGGGTTGGTAGACTTAGAAGTCTCCAAGCGCGCCATCCGAGCCTCAGCCAACTGAGGGACGGTGATGTAGTCGTTGGGGAAGTGGGTTGAAGTCTCCGCCCACACTGTGGCATTAAACGGGAGAGGATCGCCGAAGTAGCGATCCGTGCGGCTATCATCACCAAGTCAGCATTTTTCACCAATTCCAAGATGATTCGAGAACCCACCTCAAGCTGATATCATGCTCCAGCACACCTTCCACTCCCAGCGTGTCGAGGTCAAAGGAGCGTGCGAGAGGATACCTCGGGTTCGTGCGGACAGCCTGCGAGAAGAGGAGACGAGCGTCGCCGCTGTTGATGTTGTAGCCCTCTTTCATGCCATCTTTCAAGATCTGGAGGGTGATACCACGGCCGTCGTGCGGGAGGTAGTTGTGGTTGGCTAGAGTGTTCATGCCAGGACATGGTCCGCGGGCTGCAGGGGAATGTCAGTGTGAAGATTGGTTGGAATACTGCTGGGTTGCTCACCATCGTTAGGTCCTGGCGCCTGCCACCCAGTCTGTGAACCTGGGGTAGCTTGTCGTTTGGTCAGGTGTGGGAAGGCAAAGGTTGGTGTGAGCGAAGTCACGGCCACGAGAAGCTGGAAAGCCTTCATACTGAGGGCTGTTGACCAGATGAAGATTTGCGGCTGGTTTGCAGGAGGTGTAAGAGGAAGTGCGAGGACGAAACAAATGCGAGTTTACGTCCCGTAAAGACCGTCCAGTTGCTGTAATCAGGCAAGGTTGTGCTACTGAAAGCGACCTACACTTATACTCAGAACTGATCGTACAATCACCTCGGCTCGATCATGAAGCTATAGTGTAGCAGTATGAGAATTGTTACAGACAATGCCCAGTCATACTCCAATGCGACACTGCCGAGCATACCAAGATGACCGCCAAGATGAAGATGCATGTCGACTGCCACATAGATCGCCGCGTGCCTCGGACCACTGACTGTAGCCAGAGAGGGCATTCGTGGAGCCTGTGAAGCACAGATGATATGTATATCCATTTCCAAAACATTTCTGTCTGCTTGGAAGTATGCCAAGACGAAAAATATCTGTGGTCATGATGCGCCTGGACCAATATGAGCTTTGAAAGGCGATGGCGACCGAGTCGCCCCTTGCAATTGGGTTTATCGAACAAAGTCAAGACAGACGTGTTGGTCTCATCGATTTTCAGTTCTGCACCTCGGGTTTTTAGGCCTTGGTCAATGGCAGATTCCATAGCAGCATGGCAGAGTCAGTGCACAGCCCGAACACGCAGATCAATGTTTAAACCAGTGTTCAATGTCTTGACTGTGCAACTCTTAGTTGCCTGGACTCTTTCCATATTGCGCATCTATCGCCTCGGTTCGCTTTCCTCCGCCTGGGCCTCATAGCACTCATAGTTCACCCTGCAGATCTCTCCGCAGCCTCTCTCTAGGTGAGATGTATGCATTCTTCCCAATGACCAAGTAGTAGCCAGTGGAGAACACCACCACAAATCCGAACAGGAGCACTCCGTAATTCATACCCGCAGCAGTCACTGGGGTCACACTAGGGAACAGTGTGAACACGAACATCGGAATTAGCCAGATCAGAGCGCAAATGTTGATGGCGAGGCCGAATTTTCCGAGACTCCATTCGCGAGGAGGCAGAGGCGGGCCACGGATGCGACGCAAAGCTATGCAGCCGATAGAGATTGTGTAAGAGCAGAGCAGAGCTGCCAAGTCGAGGGCGAGAATGGCGTTGAGCGCAGCGGTGGACCCAATCTCGATGAGGGATAGCAGGACGCAAACGATGAGCGAGATGAAGATCGCGTTCAACGGGATGGAGGACTTGGGGGAGATCTAGATATATCGCACTCCTGTCAGTGACTTGAGCATTGATGTTGAGAAGTGTTTGAACATACATGGGCAATGGTCGACGAAAATGGGACACCTGAAAATAATGGGTAGGCCAGTCAGTTTATGTCTCAAATTTCAGGTGCCCTATTAGCTTCTTACCATTGTCGCGAGCAAAAGCCCAGATCTGTCGACTAGCGGTTGCGACGCAAGCAATGACACTGCCGGTCAATGGAAGGATGAGCAGCAGAGCCATGACGTCGGTGCCGGCGTAGCTCTTCGTCGTGTTGTAGAATAACTGCAAGAATGGCCAGCCAGTAGGACTGGCAACCAGATCGTCCAAATCGCCAAGAGTGAAAATGAGCGTGACCACCTGCAAGTTATCAGAGGGCGCTCAATCGGATGCTAAACATGATCATACCATGATAAATCCAAGGCAGGCGTTGAGATATGTCGACCACATGATACTTCGAGGAAGCGAGCGAGAGGCCGACTCAGTCTCCTCAGCTGTGTCATTGTCAGCTTACGATCCCTGCGCTCAAAATCCCTGCGCTGAACATACACATGTGGACCTGGCTATCGAAACCCAGCAGACAGAGCGTCAACGGGTAGAGTCCGACCATGAACGACAGCCCATCCGAAGACCATCCGCCTCCGTTGTTCAGCTTCAAGAAAGCATCGTGCCCGTTGTTACGCGGCGCAAGCGTCCATAGAATGATGATAACCACGAATATGCCAGTGAAATGTAGGATCGCAAGGCAACCCTCGACAATCGGCAGCCTCCTAGCAACAAAGATGTTCACCAAGACGCAGAAGCTTACCACGGCAATGATCAGGAGGGTGACATGCCATTGATGAGGAATGTAGCTCTCGTTGTTCAAGATGATGAGGCCTTGAATAATACCAGCAACCAGGAAGCCAATGCCGGTGATGGCCGATTGCCAGCCGGTAAAGCAGAGCCATCCGGTCATGTAGCTCAAGTACCGCTGGCAAGAGTCGGGTGCAAATTCGGAAACCCAGTCTGTGGCAGGTCAGTCGCGCGAACATGCTCGGTTTCTGCAATTCACTCACGATACTGCCCGCCAGATGTAGGTGCCTATGCGTCTGTCAGTCCATGTCCCACAAAGAGCCTACATATACTCACCATTGATGCCATCTCTGACAAGCTGGCGTACACGAATGTATAGCCAATAGCAACGATGATGAATCCCCAGAACAATCCAGCGGTGCCTCCGTTCGTAATGACCGCGAATAAGTTGGCCAGAATGACTTCCCAGGTCACCATGAGCGTGGAACCGAAACCCAGCATAGAAATGAACGTGAAGATGCGCCGGGTCTCCTGCGTACGACCCAACACCTTCATCTGCATCTTGTCGCCTTCGGTGCCCTGGTACTTCTCCTTGACTTTCGTGCCATCCTGAAGCTCACGGTCCGCGAAACCCGCCTCCTTGCCATACTCCATGGTCGCCATGTTGAGGAGACGAAGAGTAGAAGAAAGTGAGTGGGAGAGGTAGACGAACAGACACCCAAGCTACGCTGAAAGAAAGTCTGCTGCGAAGGGGAAAGGAAGGAGAGGGTCGCACCGACGGAAAAAACGCCATCACCTCAAGCCCGCGACAACGTGGCGGCGAACGCACAGCTCCCTGGTTCGCCCGCTGATGAGATACGGCCTCGTCTGGATGCATGCCAGGATTGTTTGATGAAGCGGCCGCCGTATAGAAAGTTGGAGCTCGTTCCCCGGCGCTAGCCTTGTAGTCTGCCGGCCCGAGGCTTGCTTATGCCGTGCTTATCGCCGACTAATATATTGCTTAACACTTTGATTCGACGACGCCCTGACAAGATCACAGCTGTGCCTCTCGCATGCAGACGCGGGCACCATGATTGAACGCA